GGCAGGCAATGTGGGTTTGAGTGAAAGCCAACCTTCCACAAGCACAAATACAGCTGCAGAGGAGAGACGGGAGCCTTTCATTTGCGAGTCCTGTGGAGTATCTTTCAATGACTTGGCCCTGTTGAACATTCACAATGCTTTACACAAAGAAAGACCTTTCAATTGTTTGACATGTGGGAATACTTTCAAAATGATGAAATGCTTGATGAAACACCAGCGATTTCACGCGACTCCGGAAGTGAGTATTGAGTTCGAAGCCACTCTGCACGAAGAAGAATTCATTGTGCAGCTCGAAACCTGTGATGGTGTCAATACATCCCTGGAAACACTAGAGGTCACCACTCAAGGTAAGACATGGTTTCAAATGCTGTGCTTAAAGGGTTAGTTCAGCCAAAAATGAAAATTCTGTCAGTACTCACCCTCATGTTGTTCCAACCCCGTAAGAATTTCGTTCATCTTCGGAACACAAATTAAGATATTTTTTAAGAAAACTGAGAGCTGGATCACTCCTTCATAGGCTGCTATGTAATTTCATCTGCCGGCCCAGAAAGCTAGTAAAGACATCATTAAAACTCACAATAGTCCAAGTGACTACAGTGGCTCAACCTTAAGTTTATCAAGCGACGAGAAAACTTTTTGTGCGCAAAAATAACGACTTTATTCAGCAATCTCTTCTCTTCCATGTCATTCTCATACGCTGTTGACGTTCTCCGTCAGAATGTTGGCTCATTATTGGCCAGCATCACACGCATGACCAGCGTCGGCCAATAGTGAGCCTACGTTCTGACATAGAACCCAGAAGCGCTGCACTGTTTACATCGTCAACAGCGTAGGAGAATAAATAATAAATTTGGGGTCGGTACGTTTTTGAAAGAAGTCTCTTATGCTCACCAAGGCTGCTTTTATTTGATCAAAAAGTACAGTAAAAACAGTAATATTGTGAAATATTATGATTTAAATTTTTTTATATACATTTTAAATTGTAATCTATTCCTGTAATGGCAAAGCTGAGTTTTCTGCTGCAATTACTCCAGTCTTCAGTGTCACACGATCCTTAAATCATTATGTTCTGATTTTGTGGGTACCAAACATTTCTTATTATTAATATTGAAAATAATTGTGTTGCTTAATCCTTTGTGGAAACCGTGATGATAAAAAATTCTGATTTTTTTGATAAATAGTACGTTTAAAAGAACAACATTTATTTGAATAAACCTTTTTGAATAAAATATATTAATTTACAAAATGTAGTGTGTCAAGTCAAGTCATCTTCATTTATATAGCGCTTTTAACAATGGATTGTTTCAAAGCAGCTTTACAGAGATAAACATATAATTTAAGGTAACAGAGATTGTTTTGGTTTTATAGCGGTTCTTGAATAATGTTATTTCCAGCTAAAATTTTGATTGATTCACATCCGTCGAAATGATCAGACTTTAAACGCGAACCTGTGATTAACGCTGACGGCGTTCACATGCACATTCAGAATTGATTCTATAGTTATGTGCTTTTGAAAATATGTGCGCAGGTTTGTAATTCCATACAACCCATGCCTAAACAAACTACTTGTCTTGCCTATAAATTTTGATACAGAATTTTGTTTTATTTTATCACTTCGGGGTACGCGAACCGAAATTCACAACGCTTTATCTGTAGAGTGGGAAAGGGATACTCCATAGGGAGAGTGTGTGAATGCCGATTGGCTCTCTGCCTTTTATAAAGTGGCACCGAATGCCAATTCTTCTGAAACTTTCTCCTTCAGACCGTTGACTTCACACTGTCTGAACATTGAAGATCTTCCTTGCCATTGAAAAGCATCTCTTCAGCGGACAGCAACACAAGCTGCTATTGTGAACCCGCCACTCCCCTTCAACAGCAATACAAACACTGTTTACACCGGACACGAGTGTTATCGCCTCGCAACAGCTAAAAGCTGTCTACACTGCTGTACGTGACAAAGCAACCGTCGCAAAACCATTTGTCCTTCATTTCAGAATCAATCAATCAACAATCAACCTTTACAACACTCAAGGTGAACCAAAGTGCTTTCCAAAAAACAAAAACAAACAACAACAATACAATACAAAATATAAAAATAAAATATATAATCAAGATAAATAATAAATGTATGTCACAAAGAAAACACAGAATGACTCAACAAATGCTATGATATAAAAGCCAGTCTAAATAAATAAGTCTTTAGCTTAGCTTTAAAAGGGCCCAAATCAGTGATTGTTCGTAAGTCGGCAGGTAGCTTGTTCCAAAGTCTTGGCCCAGCCACAGAAAAGGCCACAGAAGTAGCATGAGCGCTTGGAGAACGTCATAAATAGAATGGCATGTCAGTTTACTGTCGGGGATTTGTTGTGGCATCACACTGCGTCCAGTGTAAACAGAATCACTGATTATAATGTGTTCTTTAGTCACGTCAGGTACAGACACAGTGAAAATGAAGCAATTGCAGGTGTTGTTCATTGCAGGTTTTCAATTTCAATTAAAATTGAATTTTTCCAAATTTTTTGTGGGGTGGGGGTGCCAGATGTTTTTCAAGGTTTAAGGGGGGCGTGACTAAAGTTTAAAAACAACAGCTTTAATAAAATAAAATTGACTAAATGAGCAATATTTAGAAATGTTATCTTTTCCAGTTTGTTTCTCTTAACATACTCTGTGTTCTTCTCCTTACAGAAATTCTACAAAATAACTTGGACAACGAAGACTTATCTTGTGCCGTCTTGGAAAGCAGTCAGTATGCAACCGAATCGCTTGTGCAAGGTTTGAATATTACCATCGAAAACGCAGACGTTCAGCCCAACGCCACACCTAACACAGAAATGATAAAGCAATCAAATGATGGTTTGTTCCGTTGCAAAACTTGCGGGAAGTGTTTTGAACTGAGGTGGAAGTTCATTAACCACGTTCGGGCTCACGTGAAACATTACAAATGTTCGCATTGCGATAAGCGCTTTACTATGAGAAGCTGCCTCATCAGACACGCGGCGATGCACACAGGAGCTCAGCTATTCAAATGTGATATATGTTCCAAGTCTTTTGTGTTTCAGGCTTCCCTGGAAAAGCACAAGCGTCTTCACACGGCAGAAAAGACGGTTACTTGCCCACACTGCCAGAAAGTTTTTCCTGGCAAGCGTTCGTTCGGCAGACACAGATGCAGAGCAGTCGAAACGCTCTACAGCTGTCCCGTATGTGACAAGCAGTTCAAAATTAAACAAAACATGCTCGATCATCAAACACTACACACCGGCGAGAAGCCCTACTGCTGCGAGATATGTGGCGCGTTTTATAGCTGTGAACGATATCTGAAAAATCACCAGAAGAGTCACATCGAGAAAACCTACGAGTATCCGTGCGAACTCTGCGACAAGCGGTTCAGTGCTCGCAAACACTTGCAGGCGCATATGCTCGTGCACACGAGGGAAAAGCGATACGCTTGCGACGTATGCGACAAGAAGTTCGCCACCTCTGGAAACCTCAACAGACACAAAGCTGGTCACACGGGAGTGAAGCTGTACGGTTGTCCGATATGTTTGAAAAGGTACACCACAGCGTACGCCCTGAAGATGCACATGCACAAACACACTTCAAGCAAACCGTTCCTTTGCGACGTTTGCGGTAAGGGATTTACCAGTTCGGACTACATGAAAAGGCACAAGCGAATCATTCACGCAGGAAGGAGGGATTGTGTCTGTTCGATCTGTAATAAGGCCTTCATATTCCCCAGTTCTCTAAATCAGCACATGCTTGTACACACAGGAGAGAAGCATCATGAGCGACTGGTCAGTCCTCTGCTGAAGAAGTTCAGTTGCGAACATTGTCAAAAGAAGTTCTACTCACAAGCCGCTCTTACGGTACACCAAAGGGTTCACACCAAGGAAAAGCCGTATAGTTGTGAGGTTTGTGGAAAGAGGTTTGGGTATTCGAGCAGTATTCAGATGCACATGAGAATCCATACAGGAGAGAGACCTTTTGGTTGTGATGTTTGTGGTAAGACGTTTAATCAGGCTGTGCATCTGAGGACCCATCAGCGAGTGCACACCGGTCTAAAGTCATTCAGTTGTGAGAGCTGTGGGAAAAAGTTTGTGGATCATAGAAATCTTAAGCAACATAAATGTAAATATACCATGTAAATTCTTCAATTTTTGCAAGACCAAAGGTTACACTGATTTAAACATTGCATCTCATGTTCAGGGCTGTTTGAAATATTTTATGTAATGCATATCATTATTATGTTCATAGCTAATGATCTCTAGGGTCTTGATTGGCAATCTGAATTAAACAAAATTGTGTAAACAATTATATTTTCAAACCAGGACTGGGAATCAATGCTTGTGTGTGATGACAATAAAAACATCATGAAGAACCATCTCTGTCTTCTGAACATTAAATGTATTATGAAATAATTTGATTTGATTGAATATGAGAGTTGATTATTAAACGTCATGTCTGAATATAGTGTTTGCTAATCAGATTCTATTCCTCTAAAATACCTTACCCTGGTCGATTTTTAGATCTGAGATATCCCACAATCATGTGCGTTGATAAGTAAATTTAACAGTGTACATTTTTTTTTAAATCTTTTTTTTTTTTTTATCTATACTGGGAAGTTGTTATCAGCAATCATTCCTTAGTTATCTCAAAAGTTTGCTTGATCTAATTGCACAACTTTTTGTTATTGTTGTAACTATGTATGGGACAGCTATATTATGAAATGTATAACTATGAGGAAATGCACAAACAGAAATTGTACCAATTTTATATTGGAATGACAATATATTTATTTTTGTTCTAAAAGTTATCATTTCACATGTCTAGTCACAAAAACGGGTATTTTATACAATATAGCAAATAATAATTTGAATGCGTTGTCAACATAGACTAAAAAAATAGTTTGTCAATATTAATGAGGGCGTTCTGAAAACTAAGTGGACATCCGGGGCGGAGACTAATTGCTTTTATTAACCTGATTTCAATTTCATGAACGTCACTTCTGACGGTTAAATTTGTTAGTGTTCACTGACTAGACCTCAATCAATGGGCTCTGTTTAAAGTCTCTATTTTCTCTTTATGAGATAAACAGAACTTTTTTGATCCTTCGATGATATCTAGTCGATTGTTTTCTTTACAATAATCGAAAAAGATGAAGGAGTTAACGTTAGTGGAGGAGATGCCTAATGAGGGGTATGGATGCGCCGTTGCGAATCGTTTCGGTCAGCTGCTGGACGATGAATCCGACCCTTTCGACATTTTATTCGCGGCAGGGGTAGGGAAAAAGCAGAAGAAGAAGAAAGAGGAGCAAAAGAAAACTTCAACCACGACTAAAGCTGGAAAGAAGGAGTCTCAAAGGGACCGGACAATCGTTCTTCCAGCAGTTGGAGGTGGACAAGGTAGCGTAACTTAGGTGAAGGGCTGGGCAATTTTACTCGACGCAACATGTCTTTCTGTTTAAAGTTATAGATTAATTTAATCAACCACTAGAAGAATCTGAATGGTGTGCGCTAGTTGCTTGAGTTTTAGGCATTGCAAGTGTTCATTCGCGTGTTTATGGCATGTTTTGTCCAAATTTCTAGGCCAAGTCCGCCTTGCTCGTGGAGAGGTTGAGGAGCGAATAGAGAGACGCGTGACTTTTGAGCGCAAATTCAACGATGCCGACACCCCCCTCAGTTTCTCTGTTGAGAGGTAAAACTCTTGCTTTATTTTGCTACTATTTCGGAATTATTTTTCGTGCCACTCAATCTATCTTCGTCTGTGTGTAGGCCTGTGGATGTGCTGGACAGGCCTGTCAGAGGAAGAGGTACTGGACGTGGACGAGGAGCACGAGGCCCAGGATATCCAAGATCCAATGACGGATTTGACCAGAGAGGAAAGAGGGAGTTCGAACGACACAGTGGGAGTGACCGAACGTGAGCAGTGATTTTTTTTTTTTACTGTCATTTAAATGTCCGTTAAAAAAAGGCTTCTGGTTTCGATTTAGGACCTAGACTTTAAGGGATAGTTAACCCCAAAATGAAAATTCCTCACCCTCAAGTTCCAAACCTGTATGAATTTCTTTGTACTGCTGAACACAAAATAAGAAATTTGAAGAATATGGTTAACCAAACAGTTGATGGACCCCACCTCATTGACGTCCATAGTTGTGTTAGTCGATGACTTCCTTCAAGTGTTTGGTTACCGACATTTTTTCAAAATATATCTTTTGTGTTCAGTAGAACGAAGAAATTCATACAGGTTTGGAACAACTTGAGGGTGAGTAAATGATGTCAGAATTAATTTTAAAAACTTTAAATCCATATCACTTAATTAAAATAATAGAGCTGTAAACGTGTCCTTTATCAATGAAACAGTTTCATATTCCAATATATTAGATCAATTATAATAATATCAATCTCTTGGTTCTATTATATTATGGGTGACACGCACAATTATATGGTTAATTGCATTGTCTACCTTTATTTATTTCTGTAACCATTTAAGAACTTATCTGTGACCCATTTTTTTTTAGTTAAATAACTATTTGAAACCTGCTGGTTTAAAGAATTTGGGAACTAATGTCTGAAAGCTAAAAGGGTTCATATGATGCTTCATTATTTGGTTTAATGTTTAAAAAAAATGGTCACATACTGTATATTGCGGCTCCTCTATTCCCTGTCTGTCTGAAACGTGCTAAATTCTACAAAGCCCCTCCTTCCCTAAAGCTCAGAGTGCTGATTGGCCAAACACCTCAAGCTTGTCTGAAATGTAACGCCCTGTACCATAATTGTAAGCTTCAGCTTTAAGCAGTTGTAAACACCGTTAATAATGTCGTTGGTTTTACCATATCAGTTTGAGCCCAAGTTGATTTTCTAAAAATATGGATGATCAAGTTGAACGATTGGAAGCAACTTTGCGAGCACAACTTAAGCAGAAATTCTCGCATTGGTAAGTACTTTGTATTTAGCCAGTGTTGAGCTGTGCACAAGAGACCTTTTAGGTTGTACTGCTCAAAAACGGCTTTATAAATATTAATATCAGATTCCTAATTTCATCTGTCTTTGGAAGGCCAAACAAAGTGGTTTTGTCTTCTCATCCAAGCATGAGATGTCTCCACGACATGACAACACTACAATTCACTGAAGCCTTGTCTTCTCTCTTCATTATGCTCATGTTTCACATTGTGACCGACATTTGAGGAAGTAATATCTGGGCTTGGATCGAGGTGTTTAGAGCGGTGTTCTCTGTTAGAATAAATCCCTTTGTGGGGGACTCCGCTTTGTAACTTTGCAGATCTCATACACACAATAACGGATATATTACACTAAAGGAAAACAATAAAAAGCATCAAATGACCCCTTTTAAAACCTTTTGTGTGCGCAATGTCTTCTGGTAAATGAGGCATTACTTGAAATCAGGAGTGTCCGTTCGGAAGAGAAGCGCAGTGGCAGTGGATCTCGCAACTGGGGCTCTATGAGAGACCAAATGAGGTGACTTTACATTTTATAGTTATAATGTCAGATTGGAATACTTTTCTCAGTTTGCCCCCAGCACAATTTAAAATGGTTGTCATCCTTCTGTCTTGTAGTGAAATTGAAGAGGGGTCACCTAGTGAGGAGGTTGTTGAAACTGAGGAGACCCAAGAGGTAGTTGCAACTGATGGAGAAAACAGGTCTGTTTCGCACAGCTGCAGGAAATCTTGTAGTTGTAACCCATAATGCTTGGTACTATTATGTGCTGGCTTTATGAACTTATGCTTCCTTTAACATCCATTATGACTTAATGTATGATTGCTCGTCCTACAGACCATCTGAGACCGAGGAAGTGATTGAGGTTGCCATAGAGATGACACTGGATGAGTGGAAAGCCCTACAAGAGCAAAGCAGGCCCAAGGTAGAGCTGAATATTCGTAAGGCAGACACCCCTGTCCCGTCCAAGGCTGTGGTTATCCATAAGTCCAAACTCCTTCAGGTATGGAGTCTCATTCTTGGCTCAGAGTTTGTTGGGTGCAGTTCAGCTCTTGTAATTGCAGGTCTTTCTTTCTAGAAACATGATAATGGCATTGATGAAGAGGATGTGGTTTTCCGTCGCCCGGCCAACGACATTACCTGTCAACTGGAGATCAACTTTGGCAGCCTGGCTCGGCCCTCTCGCGGTGGGAGAGGTGGACGAGGTGGCGGTGGTCGTGGCCGTGGTGCTCCCATGCCATCCCAAAGATCTCCACCACAACTTGAATCTGTAAGTTAATGTTGTATTGGTTGCATCAGAATGTGCTCATGCCCCTGACAACATAGTCCTGTGAAATGCAAGACTTGCAAGCCAGCTTGGTGTTCATGCTGTGAGAGATAATGTGCCATTGGTGGTTTTGGGCTAATTCATGTTTTGGTGTTCCTAAGGCTCCAAACCCAGATGATCCAGAAGATTTCCCTGCACTGGCTTAGTGCTCCAGAGGAAGAGAGTGAAGATCAAACTGTTCTGCAACCCATGTTGGTTGAAATGAGCAATGTGCACTTAAAATGATCAAAAATAAAGAATGCACAAAGTTGGTTATTTGCATTGCCATTTACTGTAATAGTCATCTTGTTAATCATTCTTTAACTTTTGCACTTCATTGGATTTAATATTGAGGCTGGAGATGTGGTTTGTTTAAAAATAAAGCATGCTATTAAAAGCATTCACCTGTGCTGAGTGAACTCTTTATTGCCCAAATATGTTAATTTAATTATTAAAATCATAATGTGGAAGGGCTAGTTCACCCAAAATTTAATCTACTCGCCCTCATGATGTTCCAAAACCTGTAAGACTTTTGTTCTTCTGAACACAAAGATTTTTTTTATGAAATCTGAAGTTATTTTTGTCCCTCTATTAACAGTTCACGCAACTACCACTTTGAGGTTTCAAAAAGTGATCTCTTATACACTAAACTGATTAATGTAGGTTTTTATTCACATAAACATTCAAGGAAATCGCTCTGATTTCATTAAATATCTTCCTTTTGTGTTCCGAAGAATGAGGTTATTAAAGTTCGAGGAAATGTAATTTTCTGTTTGAATTAGTCAAGCTTATAAAGTATATACCATTCAGGAAGTTGAGCAACAAATTGTTATATTAGACCAAAGGTTTATGTGAAGACTGGAGTAATGACAGCTGAAAATTCATAGTTATATTAATAGAAAAATATAGCACAACATTGTAAACCAATTTAAAATATGATTTTTTTTTATCACAAATGCAGCCTTGACACTTTCAGAAAAAAAATTCTTATAGACCATAAACTTCTGAACATTAGTGTGTGTAAACAATGATGGATATGAACAGGAAGGTCAAGATCAATTTGAGTTTAGTGTTTATTTCGAGTTAAAGCAGCGTTGATGAATATAGGAGATGGGTTGATATATATTTCAAACCGGATACTCTTTAACTGCAGTCCAAATAAGCCATTTGCTCTCAGTCTCTTTTCAGTACAGTTCTTTACTATACCACCAGGGGGCATAACACCCCAGAGAATAAGATAAATCTGACCCTTGTGCTCCTGTGGCCAGTCAGATGTCCATTGTACTCATGCTATTTCCCTTGTGCAGTGGTGAAAAACTGGTCATCCACTGGTTGAAAAATTACTTGGAAAAAGTTCTGATGTCAGGAAATACTGCTTGCTGTGTGTGTGTGTAGACAAGTTTCCTCTAAGCTCACAGTGTTTTGGCTGGTGATGGAATGTCACACTGCTAGTCATATAGTGAAAGGAAATTAAATTTACAATGGTCTGTTTCCTCCAGCTCACCGTGTATCACTATAGATTTTGGCAGTTTGCTAGACATACTGCCAATCTTGCTGAAAAGAACCAGGGTGCTCTGTCCTGCAAGCCTGGCAGCAGTGAACTCTGGAATCAGATTCCTCAATGAGGAAATGGACAGTAGTGAGAGAAACTCTCATCTGCTGAATTCACTTTTTTTCAGCTCCGCTGTCCCTCTTGATTGCTCTGACACTCTTTATCTTTGAGCTATAAGAGTCTTGTCTTAGTGTAGTCATATGATACACGCTGTTTTAGTCTTTGAAGAGAGTCTGTTGTTTGTTTTAGGGGGATTGAGTCAGATTCCCGTGGCTGCGTTAAGACTGAGGTGATTGTAAATGTTAGGCTTAAATGTTCTTTCTGCATTCTCAGGGCTGTTTTTTCTGTGGATAGTGTTGAGCTGGTGAAACGCACACATGCATGAGCTCATTGTAGCTGACAGAGTGAATCCAGATGGATAAAGCAGTGATACTGGAAGGATGTGTGTACAATATTTTCTGCACCCAAGTCCATAGTTTTCTTTGTCTTGGCATCTTGTGTTTTCCCATCATCCCTTTTCCTTACTCTTTCCCTCTGTATTTAAGTGGCTATTGGGGAGATCATGAACTGTGTGACTATAATTAACTGTCAACTGTTTTGAATTAATATAGATCCATTGGGGCGTAGAAACAAATGGTGATTGATCGTTGGCCTCGGGACCCAAAGAGTGATTGATTCAGTGTGGTGTTGAATTTGGTGTAACCCCAAAAAAGCATTTGGACTTTTGTCGTTTATTTTTCCTGAACAAATGTTAGGCTAAATCTTAAACAATTGAGATCTTGTTTTCCTTCAGATTCTTGTATCACAGTCTTTTGCTTAGTGTTGCTACAGATATAGTGAAGCGGTCGGTCCTATAAGCAACGTGAGATGATCTGAACTAAGCTGACATTAAAAGTCTTGGACCTGCTTGTATTTCATCCGTGTTGGATTTGTTCATGTTATCCTCGTGGGACCCCCCAAAAAACCATTTGGAATTAAAGAAAAAAAATTTCATGACATTTATAGTGTTTGGAGAAATAAATTCTTTGTAGAGAATTCAGGACTTGGGTACTAAGAAAATAAAGGTAAGAGACTAATATAAATTCTTAGGTTTTGTGCTCATTTCCTTTACAGTCCTCTGCACTGATTATATATAGTTGACAGATGTTTATATTTGTGTATGTATGTATTGTACACTAGTGTACATATTAAATAGCAGTGATTTTTTTTCTCAGTACTTTGGCACAGAAATTCAAACTTCCACTAAACATTTGCACATAGTTTCTCAACCATGTTATGAAAGATATTACAGAATGATTTAATATAACATTTACCTCATGATTTCTTACACAGTTTTAAAAACATGGATGAAAATAAGCGTTTCCAACCGTATATAGGGTACATTTTTATTGTTTTGCTTTTGCACTACAAAAATAGTGTTGAAGTTTCTTGTAGTTACTAGTTAAGTCATACTTGTAATATCGTACTCCATAGATGTGTATTACAAAAGCGATTTGAAAATGAATCAAATGCAAAATGATGTTTCTGTAGTTTGCATTTAATTAATTTTCAAATCGTTTTTTTTTTATAATAATTACATTGCAGGATCCTGGTAGGACATGAATTGTAATGAGCTAGAGAGAGATCGGTATGGATGAAGGCAAATTATGGTGGAGGTTTATATATATATAAACCTGCATCATAATTTTTTCCTGTGGTGTCTCAAGGTTGTGCTCCATGGTAAAAAGGTGTAGAGCTCAAAGAGACAAACCCAACATATTGATTAGGGCTTTAAGGCTAGAGCTGTTAGAAACCTTGAATCCAGAAGAGGATGTACTTGTCGACTAAGAAAATGGAGTCTAAAACCACATGCTACTTTCGGGACTCAATTACATTCATCTCACACAAAGAAATCCTACTTCACAGAACAATTGTTTACTACAAGACAAACTGCACAAGACTCTGTTTGCTCTGATTTAATTATGCATACTGCAATATGCACATATTTGTACTATTTTTATACACATTTGATGTGCGTGTTTTCAAACAGGCCGGACATATCAAAGTCTTAACCCATATCTATTAATAATAAGCAGCTAATCAATCAGGCCTTTGGAGACAGGCTGCTTTTACCCTGCAGGGAGAGAGGAGGCCAATCAGCAGTGCCCATGTTCATTATTAATTCAGTAGCTATGGGACCTCTTAGCTCTCTACCCCACTGAGTATAGAGCTCTGTGTCAGCACAAAGTGTATCCATCACAATTCGGCCTTCTTGGTATTGATTAGGTCTACTATGTTAAACGTATTCAAGAAACAAGTAATATTAGTCATCACTATGGATAATTAACATGCATGAGATATATAGAATTATAGGCATTGCAAAATCTGTTTCAGATGCAGTGCTATCTTTTTTATGTTTGTGGATAATATTATAGCCAGCCTGTCCAGTTTTAAGCCCAACTCAGCCCAGGGGCCAGATGGCCTGAGAGGGAGAGTTTTAAAAGAAAATGTCCATGAACTAAAAGGTATTGTGCTGGAGCTATTTCAGTACTTGCTTAATTCCTTAACAATTCCCAAATTATGGAAAATGTCCTATATTGTGCCTATTCCGAAAAAACCTGGAGCTATTGAACTAAAAGATTTTAGGCCCATTGCCCTTACTTCCATCTTAGGAAAATGTTTTGAGAGAGTTATAAGCAAACATATTACAGCATCAGTTTCTAATAGTTTAGATAATCTCCAGTTTGCTTACAAATGTATGAGGGGAACTGATGACGCAACTGTCAGTATGTTTCACAAAGCACCTTCAAGTCCCCTCTCACCTAGCTAGGGCCCTGTTTATCGATTTTACATTTGCCTTTAACAGCATGCAGATCCACACCCTGCTGCAGAGACTTATCTATATAAGAGTAAATGGTGGTATTATCCAACTTGTAAGGGACTTCCTCTCTGACCGTCCTCAACAGGTTCTGGTTAATAATATTCGGTCTGACATCCTTGTGCTTAATACTGGCGCCCCACAAGGGACTATACTTTCCCCATTACTCTTCTCCATTTATACAAACGAATTCCAATTAGATCGGGAAAATTTTCGTTTGTTTAAATATGCAGATGATATGGCCCTGGTTGCTTTATTAAAGAGGGGGGACATAGTTGGAGAGGAAGTATATAGAGCACATGTGTCATCTCTCCAGAAATGGTGCGATGAATGTTCCTTAGAGATAAATGTAACAAAAACAAAGGAACTTGTCTTTCATGTAAAGGACCCTGTGCAGCCCCTTATAATTAGGGGACAAATTGTAGAGGTAGTAGAAAAGTTCAAATACCTCGGTACATATATTGATTCTAATCTAAATTTCGGTGAAAACACAGATTACATCTTTAAAACCTGTAACCAACGTCTCCATTTACTGCGCAAGCTCAACTCCTTCAGATTTTAAATTTTAACATGGCGATGGGGTATGGTAATTTTAACATAAAAGGGAGAAGCAAGCTGCAGAGAATAGTAAACCTCGCCTCAAAAATCATAGGGACAAGTCAGAAACAATTAAATTCCACGTACGAGGAAGTTCTCAGGAAAAAAGCTTTTAAAATAGCAAACGATCCCTCTCATCCACTCAATAGGGAGTTTGAACTTCTTCCCTCTGCCAGACGTTACAAATTACCTAGGGCAAATCGTAATATTTTTAAAAATTCCTTTATTCCTAATGCAAT